ATTATTTGTAAAGCACTATCTATACAGTAAGGTCTGTTAATCCCCATCACAATGTATAGCTGATGCCTTCCCACAGAAGAATGCAATCCAGCAAGGATTCCTGGCAAGTCACTACACATTCTCAATCAGAAGGATCATCAGCTCTCCCTGTCATGACCACAAGGAAAGACAAGATGGAAAACCACCACCCATCTCATCCCAAGTCAGCAGCTCCCAGTCTGTCTGCTTGGTGCAATAAGGGCAACCCTTTCCTCCACATATGAGCTCCCTTTATTGCTTGGTTAAAGACCTCTCAGGTCTTCTTTTTCTGAGGAATCCAGTTGACAAATTCAGGCAAACAGACTCAAACAAAAGAGAAAGAAAAAAAAAGCAAAACAAACTCATGCAGCCATTTGGCAGTTTGGACCCTCTGTTTTCCTACCCAATTTTAATCCCCATTTCCACGGGGATATATTGGCATCATGTACCTAGAAGCCCCATCAGTGTGGACCCCTCAAGCCTCTAGGCTCCAGCTTCCATGGCAGCTTCCCTAAGGTGACCCTGCTTTGGTTGGAAGTTGCACTGGGGCAGCAGTTATGACACAGGATTACAGCTCAGAAGCATTTACCCCTGGGGCACTGGGATGTTAGCAGAATACACCTCAGTTTTCAAAACTAACCCTTCTTGACCTCAGCCCCCTTTACTCTATATTGGTTTTCAATACACAACTTCATAATTCAGAAAATGAACACAGTTTTCTTCAAAGTGGTCAAATTTATTAAGGGAAAGCATCCACACAAGGAAAACATCTCCCCGAAGGAGCCATCTCTGCAGGACATGCTGCAGATCAGCCATTCAAAAAAATAAAATACAATATAAACCACCTCTGAGAGCAGCTTTTTCATGCATGTGAGTAAACCACCCATAGACACCGTTAACTTTAGGAGGAAACAGCAGAACCAAACAAACCATTGATGCAGAACCTAAAAAAGAAGACCAGAAAACACCTGGTTCAAGTAAATATATGCAGTCTGCAACTGAATGCCCTCCACGAACACAGATAATCGCACAGAATGACAGAATGGGTGAGGCTGGAAGGGAGCACAGCCATACACACCGTGCAGTTTGCAAAGGAGACTGTACAGATCCATAGTGATGCCGTGCTCTCTCTAGACACAGACGTGTCACCACTGGACGTGGCAAGCTGCCAGCTGGCCCAGACAGCCACGAGAGCTGCTGATGGAAAGCAGCTGGATCTTCAAGAGAAGTCTGCAAGGAGCTGAGAGGAGACCAGACTGAACAATGTCACAATTTTTTCCCCCCAGATTTCTAAGCGGAGCTGTGAAGATATAACTCCTCAAAACCTTTGTTCAAACTCCTGGGTGCAAGGATGGAGCATGCAGAGAGCACAGGACTGCCCAGCCTGCTGCTCCCTCCCCACCTTCCTATCCAAGCACCCGTGTACACACTCATTGTCCCACGAAGCTACTTTAAAGAAGCAAAAATGTCTGAAACAGGAGACAGCTCAAACAGATTTTTATCACCACATCCTGCACATATCAAGTGAAATCAGAAAGAGGGAGGTGCAGTCCACAAAATAAATAAGCAATTAACCCTCACAGTGAACGAGTCAACGTCTTGGCTTTGGGGAAGGGGAGGAATGGCAGCTGGGGAAAAACTCATTAACAGCAGGAGAAATTAGTGAAACTATCAATGAAATGAAGCAGTTCACCCACAGGACAGGAGAGCACAGGTGAGGGGAGGGGAGTCCAGCCATCTGCAGCTACAGCTGAGCTGACAGCACCCAACAGACACATGTGGAGGTCCAAATCACAGCAAAAAAATAACTTCGTTAAAAGCTGTGGCAGGGTGTAAATCCAGGCTGGGTGTAGAACTCGACTAAGGCAGAATCGGGGCAGGATGGGCAGTGCAGCAGCTCAGCACTGCTCCAGCCCATACTCAGCATCACCAGGCTGGCCATGGAGGGTCCCAAATCCTCACCAGTTTGGAGCTAAGGCAGTGTCCCCACCTGGGCAGCCACCCCTTGAGCTGCATCCAAGCCATCGCTTGGATTCATGTATTGCTTCTCATCAAACCTGAGACAAACACGGGCTGGAAGCTGCTCCAGGTGGGGTCAAACCGAGCAGTCCCGTGTGGAACCTTTGGGGCAGAAGCTCAGGGGTCTCTGCTCCGTGTGCTCCTCACACTGCCTGCATCAAGGAGGGTTTGAGCTGCAATCCACACACCGCACTGGGACGGGCACTGACTCAGCTGGGCACTGTGAAACCCGGAGAAAACAGGGGCCCCACCAGTGCCAACAGGGGACCCACCAAGACAGCAGACACAGCCCATCCTGTTTTCTCAAAGCCTCTGGGCTTTGCTTTTTTCCGCCTCTTTGCAAGGTCCTTAGGTTTGACGAAGTCATCTTCTCCTGTTGGACTGAACTGCTTTTTCTCAGGGCTGATCAACTTGTGTCATGCAAATTACCCAGGGTGGAGGTAAACCAAGAAAAGGGGCATTCAGAAGGTTCCTTTTATGTTTCACAGATCATTTGCATCCTTATTCTCTGCCTTTAGGGCAACTCTCAGCTGACTGAACACCTGCTTTTAGCTGCCGGGAAGCACAGAATAAACCTCCTTCTCCACCCACCCCCAATTCACACCCCTTCCGAGTACTTAACTGGTGTCACTGAGGCTTGCAAAACCCTCTCACTTCAGGCAGGCCGCTCATTTAATATTAGTCAAGATGGAGATTACAACATTCTCCTGCTCACCATGTCCCAGAATCCCAAAGCATCCCAGCTTAAGGAAATCCCAAACTCAAAGAAAGCAGGGAGCCTCACACCAGGTCACCAGCTTCGTGGCTTTGCATCCATGAGTTCTGAATATCCTTGCAGATATCCACGGTGTCCGCCCAGCACAAAAATGCTTCAAAAAAAAGGAGTGATAGAGAAAGAAAGCCAGATGGAGTGAACTTAATTGTGAAAAATCCAGAGACGTCCAGCAGCCAAGTAAAAATGAGGTTGTTCCTTGGGAATCACTGATACTGCAAAAAGCATCCCCCCTTCTTAGACACAGTCCTCATATCTCACATTAAATTGCTCATCCTTAATGTTAATTCTCACGGCAACTCCAAAGAATCAGTTTATTCCTCCTCTCCAGATGGAGAATCGAGGCACAGATGCAGAGCAAAGAGACCAGGGGCAGAAGCAAGCATCAAATACGAGGGCACCTTGAGTCCCTGCAGCATCTTCTGGTCACCAAGGCAGACAGACAGAAGGCAGGAGAGGTGTGTGTCAAGCTCAGGCAAAGGGCAGTGACCACATCATTTCACTGTGACAGCTTCCCTTGCTATAAAAAGGAGAGAGTCCTCTCTCCAGGGTGACAATGAAAACACTCTAATTATTAGTAATACAGAAAAGCTAACAGTAAATTGCAGAGAAAACATTAAATAAATGAAGAATAACACACACACACACTTCCTTTGCCCACTTACAACTAAACAAGAGTGATGTACTACAGCAAATTATATTTGTTCTTAAAGGTGACAATGTTGAAAATTATCATCAATCCCTATTTCTGAACAAACTGCCCTCAAAGAACAAACATATTGAGGGCAGAGGCATAAGCATACCAAAAATCTTCCAGAGTTACCTCTGCTTACATACAACACCTTGTACATGTCAATTTCAACTGGTGTTAATATTTATCCTCACTGCAGTAGGGATGAGTCAGCACAGGCTGAGAACTCTGCAAACACAAGCAGAAAACATTTCCATCCCTCAAAGAACTAGGAGGGGAAGCTGAGATGGTGGCCTAGCAAAGTCAGGCAGATGTCTGTGGTGGGATATCTCCTGGCTGAGAGATGCAGTGATGTGCACAAAAGCTCTCGATGGAGATTCTAATCAACAGAGAGCTGACATGCAGGCCCCAGCTCTTCACAGAACCACACCTGGGGGGATCCTGCACTTTAGCCAAGGTACCAGGATGTGGATGTTCCCTCTACAGGTGTCAGGTTCCCATGGGGAGATGGCAAACATTGTTCCAAACCTTCCTGTGGCTGAAAAGCCACAAGCCACATCACTCAAAAAGCCAGAGAGCAGAGCAGCTCCAGGGCTGGTTCCCAGGAGGTTACAGTGCAGCCCAAGCAGCCTCACTGGGTCTTAGTGCAGCAGCTCCTGGGGCTGGAATAAACTCCTGAGGATGGAATCATCTTGCTGATTCTCACTGGGGCTGCAACAGCCAGCACGAGATGACCCAGTTGGACTGAAACCTCCCCAGCAATCATACTCTATCCTTCAGGAATGTACATATGCTGCCAGTCAGGGTGGATAAATGCTGAGAGCAGGCTCAGACAAGTGGCTCACAGATTTAAGCTATGTCCAAGCCTTGAAGAAAATTTAAGGGCAGCTTGGGAGAGCCAAGCTTTCATGCAGTGGCTTTGGACACCCAAAGCCACAAGCAAGCACCCTGAACTCGAGTCCTCCTACACAGGATACAAACATTACACATGCCTTGCAGACCCTACAACCAAGCAAGCTGCCCCAGCTGTGCTGACAGTGCAGAGAAACAGGTATTGTAGGGAATGATTCAATCCATTCTTTTGCCTAGGGCAGGTCAGGGTCAGGCACTTCCTAAAAATATCCATTTCCCTCCAGCGACTGTAAAAGGAGGCTGGGAGGGGGCCTGGATCAGTAGCAGGTAATTGCAGCAGAGTTCTCTAAACACAGAGGAGTAAAGTCCCCTGCTGTGAAGCCCAAATGCAGTCAGAAACAAGACCTGTGTGATGCACAAACCTCAACATATTCCAGATAGTGCCCAGCCCTTCTGAGACTCCCAAGCACAACACCAGTCTACAACCCTCCCATCAGCCTTGAAGAAGCAAAATACAGTGAAGCTAAAAGGAAAATCGAAAAGCAAATCTGGAGGATCAACAGAAGAGGTCTCACACAAAGGGTGCAGGGAAGACTGGGAGAGTTTCTATCTCCAGGCTTATGAGCACTGAAAGACATCACCACTCACCTCATTTCCCAGGAAACCCTGGCAGGATCTGACCTCCCTTTGACACGCTCCTCCCTTCTCCTTTCTGCAGTCAATCGAGACCTATATGACATTACAACAAAAGACATGTCAGCAAGCTAAATCTTGTCCCCTCCCTCCAACCAAAAACCTTCCATTCCCGTAATTTTTCAACATAAGGCTGCAATAGAAGCCAGTTATATATAAATTACAGTTTATATAAATTGCATCTTATGTGTACATTTAAATATTTATATATTTATTTTATACATATTACCTAGTTAAATATATACATATATATGTATAAAAATATAAATTGGTGAAGGGACAGGGCCCCATGTGAGTGGCTGAAGCAGCAGCACATTCCTCTGCAGCCACCAGAGTTCAGGCATCAATGATGGAACCCTACAGCCTGTCCCATGCTGGACTCCCACAATGGCCCAGCAACGTGGCATAAAAACGCATGTCAAGGTTCTCCTGAGATGTTCACTGCCAGCTCTAGAGCAATCCTGCAAACATTCCTAAGGAGCAATGGGAGGAAACACAGAGAGGAGTTCCAGGGAGCCTGGGTGGCCCAGAGGAATGGAGGCAGCAGACTCCTGCTCCATGACCCAGAGCATCCCAGCGTCAGCATGGAGAGGACATGGGCTTTTCCTCGTGGTGACCTCCAGACATTGCTGACCCCTCTCATGACAGTCCAAGGGTCACACAGGACAGCCAGCTGGACATCAGACTGTTGTTCATGTTCTCAGTGCTCTGCTGGGTAGCAGTTCTCATAGACTGTTTTCACCCATCATCCAGTCCCCATCCTCTCCTTCTCAAGCCACAGAGCCCTTGTGGTACAGCCAGAAATCACACAACTATATATTAAACAGCTTTCTATTGCACAGGCTGCTGGCAGTGTCCGTGTGAGGCAGAGGAGGGAAGGGGACCTTTATCACCATCAAAACCTCCTCAGCACTCAGCCTACTTAAACCCAGCCACATTTGCACTGCTAAATTTGGGAGAGTATGAGAAACATTCCCTCCTAAGTGAGGTGGGGGAGGGACAAGCCAGCTTCTGGCCTTCTTTAACTCCTGCCAAGCGCTCTGTAATTCAAAGTCCACGCCAGGGAAGCCACCCCTGGCCCAATGGCCTAGACCCAGCAAACCTGGAGATCGGTGCCTTAACCCCTTCCAGTCACCATCTGAGCTTGCCTGTTTTAAGAGAACGATTGAGTCAGGCTTTAGGAAACAGCTCCCACTGAAATAGCAGGTGTCCAGGAGGTAGGTGGAAGGAATTCTGGACACCTTCACACATCAGCTTCAGACAGTGAGTTTGAGCACCCTGCCCTGAAGGGATGCAGTGCTCAGCCTGGTACCAGCTAGCAGCAACCCTCACCTTCAAACTGATTTAAGAAGGTACGAAATCACTATTTTTGGGTGCAAAATAGATTAACTACTCAGGAAAGATAGCATCAATATCTGCAGCAGGAAGGGGTCACCATCCCTGCCAGCACCTAGAAGCATTACCCTGACCTGCAGCACAGGCACCTATAAACAGTTACCACCAGGCTTTGCTTTGGAGGTCATAAGAGCAAATTAAACCTCTTTCTCCTTGTTGCTGACTTGTACAGGAAGGAAACACAGGTTACAGTAACCTTTCTGGGCCTGTTCTCCATAAACACCATCAGCACCTGCACCCTTCCGCAGATGCCCAGAGAAATCTGCCCCTGGAAACACAATCCATGGAAAATCTAGGGGAGCAAATGTGTTGCTGCCCACACCCAACAAATAAACATTTTAATTAATCCCAGAGGGTGCCAAGTCCAGCGGTGTACATGGTGAGCCAGCAATTTTCCTCAGCATCCACACTGAGACATTCGAGGGAGCTTTTGAGGAATCCAGGCATGAGCCTGGGCAGGTGGCCGGAGACATTTCCCAAAAAATTCACATGCACACACACACACACCAAAAAAAAAAAAAAAAAAAAAGCTGGGCTTGTTTTCCACAGAAGTGGGCATCAAACGTTCTGACATCAAGAAGGATGATTAAAGACAGCTGAGGTGCAGGAAAGATTAAAAGAACTAAATATGCCCAACCTGGCTAAGCAATGAGTAAGAGGAGACGTGATAAAAGACTCCAGGCATTTGAATGAAGGGAGTGGCGTGGCATTAAAGGACTGAATAAAATATCTTTCTGAGAAATAGATCCATCAACGATCTCTCAAGAGATAAGTACAAGCCTCATTTTTTAGGCATTTATAAAACCAGTCGCCAGAACTGAGGTTTTTGAGCAGAAATCCACATTGCCCCGGAGGGAACACACACCAAAGCTTTTCATCTCTGCCATGGGGTGCTGCAAACAAGGACCTCGATGCCACCATGGAGTACAGGAAACTTGAGATGAGGCAAGCGTTTCATACCACCTCACCCAAGAAGCAGAGATATGCCTTTTTCACTGTAAAATTAAAATTTATAAGCATACTTGATTTTTTCACTCCTTATTTTTAATCAGCAGCTCTAATCTATAATGCTTCAGGTTTAGGGGTGGAAAAAAGAGGGGGGGGAAAAAAGAAGGAAATAACCACCAACCTATTAAAAATTAACAGATCTGGGGTCTAACAAGTACTAGATTCTCTTTTCCCCACAATAAATAAAGATACATGGCATGGTGCCAAGGAAGCAAGAGCATGGATTGAGCTGGGCAGCAGTGATCCTGACAACTGCCAGCCCAGCAGCTCTCTACACACAGCACACACATGGGCAAGGTGACAAAAACCTGGGAAGTTTTTCAATACCTGGCTCTGATGAGATCATACCCTTCAATCAAAGGACCTCTGACCCTCTGAAACCCAGAGACCTGATACACCTTGTAAAGATCAGAAGTGAGCCCTAAGGCCTGAGTAAACCACCCAGGAGGAGAGATAAACCTGTTATGCTGGCTTTGCCCCAAAAAACCATCTAATGAACACCTAACTATCAACTCTGTGAAGCCAAAACAGTGGATTCTGTGTAATTTCACACCATGTCCAGCCATATGAGCGTCTTCTGAACATTCTCCCCTGGCATAGAGTGGTGCACCCTAGGGAAGGAGCTTGACCTAGCCAAAACTATTTACTGAATGCAGATATATGCACGGTGAGGTTTCTACCAACACCAGCTTATCAGTTCAACTGATGTGCCTGGGGATTGCAATTGACCCCAAAATGTTCTTTCAGGTGCTTCTGCCCCAATATTGCTGATGCAACTCAGCCACCAGGGGTAGGACTTACAAAGCTCAGTGGTATCCCAGATTTGGGTACCTAGAGACTTCTTCCCCAGTTGGGAAAAGCCAGAAGACATTTGCCCGTGGTGTAATTTTAAATCACAGTTAAATTCACACAATGGTCATGTATCCTGTTCCAGCTGCCCCTGGCCCCCAACCTAGTGAGCCAAGGCAGGGCAGCTGAATGTAAGAGGAAACTAGATAGGAAAAAAAAACAAAACGTGAGTAATTTTCTTCTAATTAATTCCCTAAACCAGTTCAGTGGGGCTCAGGCAAGTACTAGAAATCTTTCCCCTTTTGGCATGAGCGAGATCAGCTGAACTGCAACATGTGACTGCAATCCAAGGCAACCTTTGTTTGCTAGACCAAGACTGGATCTTTTTAATTTTATTTTTTTCTCCTTTCCCACAGCAACCTCTTAAGTCTGCAACTGCCTTTCTCCATGGGAACAGGAGATCCACCATTAATTGACCAGTGAGTTTTATTGCAGAGTTGAAACAGGACGTTCACAGAGGATTTTATTGTGGGTTTTTTAATAAGTGGGACGTTTTAGTAGGCAGTGTATCTTCTTGCTTTATGCTTGCTTGCTTCTTTGGGAGGCTGAAGTACAAAACCAGGCTGACAGATTCATTCTATATACTGAAGAAACATTATTTTGTTCTACCCAATTATAAAAAGAGAACATAAAAAGACCCGTTCAAAGTGGAGGAAACTCAGCTCCTTATGTTTGGGATGAAAAGGGAAAATTAAAATCTAAGATAGATTATTATACCTTCCATCAAACCTTCGTCTTCCCACAGAATCAGCTGCTCCCATCACTGCAGCAACTGATGCTGGAGATTACCTGGCTCAGGGTATCACTGTCACACAGAATTAAAGGTTTGCAGGATGTATTTGGACAACTCCCTCCTTTCCTTTTGATGTTAATTTTGGGTATCCCTGCTCAGGCCATGACTGCAGTTTTACTCTGCTCTCATCATGTATTCAGACTGAGAGCCAGACCTGGCAGCTCTCACAGCAGGTGTGGCAGGAGGTCACAGCCCCTCTCTGACCCACAGCTCATCCTTCCAGGAATGACTTTGGAGTCTGGACAAGGGAATGTAAAATTTTGACTTGTGCAATTCCCACTACAGGGAGTGGAGGTTATTTTTTCCCCCTTCAGACAGTTAATAAGAAACAACTCTCTCCCAAAACACAGATTAGTTTCTACTCTGAAGAGTGGACTGGGGATACTCCATGTGTTTAAAAAAAAAAAAAGGGGGAGAGCTCCCACAGGATGAGCCCCAGGAGGGAGCTGTGTGCTGGGAAGCAGCCAGTTCTCCATGTCCTTCCCAAGAAATGCATTTCTCATCCTGACACATACATTTTGCTACACCCACTCCCACTCAGCAGAGCCTTTGCCGGCGTCCACTTCCCCTGGATATTTTACAAATGCTTATCCAGAGCCTCCCATTCTCCCTCTTTCATATGGCAGTAACTGCTATTCTATTTTTGCTCCAGTTTTGAAAAGGTGTGAGAGAGAAATGAGTGTTTTTCATGTTTCAGGAAGATGGTCACCTCTGTCTGAGCTGGCAGCAGCTCCTCTGCTGAGGGAGAGGGGATGCACAAAGCTCTTGGAGAGGGAATGGAGCAGGATGTAAGTGCCTGGACTGCTGCTGGTAGTCTGGAAAGAGTTACTGCTGGGCCGGGGTGAAGAATGCAAGTGACGCAGCAGCATCCTGCAGGGAGAGAAAGGAAAACGTGAAAAAAAAAAAAGAAAAAAAAGCGCCTTACAAAACCTCCAGCTCTTTGGCTGAGGTTCAGGATGACTACACTTTTACTGTAAGTGTTTAGTAACTC